ATAAAAACATGATTTTATGATAAATCAACTACTACTAAATGATAATAATAATAGACTTTCAAAAGCCACACTATGATTATAATTGAAGGATAAGAGAATCATATTATTAAAATTAAATATGGGAAATATAAAAATGTTAGATATATGTGTGAAACGATGTGGGGTAAGTAGAAAAAAAAATCAAATTAGTGTGGTAATGGATAAATGATTTATCTTGCAACATATTGATTTAGATAACTTTCTTTATAAAAGATATGCCTATATACATATAGATTTATTATAAACTTATAATACATGACTCACTTTTGTTATGTGTTTGTAATTTCAGCTAACATGTATATATAAAGAGAGAGAGAGAGATTTATTATAAACTTGAATACATTTGTTCACTATTTAAATAATGTGCAATTTAACAATTTGGATTACATTATTTGGTCCGGATAATTGGATTTTGGATTGATTTTTAGCAAAACCAAGTTAATATTTTGGGTTTCGGATTAGTTCTGGTTTATAATTAAAATAAAATTCAAATAGTCCAAAAAAACCGAATAACTATTTATCATTTGTTTATTTACATTTATTTTTTGTTTTTAGTATACTTCTTTGAATTCTTTATTAAGTATAAATTGTTTTTAAATATATTCAAATGTATTACCCAATAAAAAACCTAAACATATACTTCTCAAATGTTTTTATCCAGAGAATATTAAATGATTACATATTTCTCTTAACGGTTGTTCATAAATTTTATTTCAAAACTAAACAATTTATTTTTGTTTAAAGTTATCTAACATTCAAGTTATATAAGTTCTAAATATTTTGTCACTTGAAAACCGAATTGTAAAAACCTATCCAATCGAATTGTAATATGCTTGGTTCGGATTTGATTTAAATTCAGTTTGGGTTGTTCGGATGTATGTTCTGAAAACCGAAATCCATAAGAATTCATTTGATTGATCCGATTCAACTTAACAAACCCCCCACCCCCCCCCCCCCCCTAAATTTGAATACATATATAGGGCCTCATACATGTTATGTGTTGAGAATTTCAGCTAACATGTCAAATAACATAAGACATATAGGTATGGGCAACGCCCTTATGGTGTTATCCGATGTGCCATCGCCATAACGACGCCATAAAGGGCGAATACTGCCCCACCTTCCTGTTATTAGGCGTTATGTTATCATTCGTTATTGTGGTAACGGGTTGTAATTTTTATAACTCGAACGTTGCAAACTTTTTACCGTTTAAAAACGGTACAATATTCAAAATTAAACCATTTAAAAACGGTAACTTCAATAAAAAATTTACTAATTAATTTTTACAATATATATATATATATATATATATATATATATATATATATATATATATATATATATATACACCTCATTCTTTTTACCTACACATCTATTTCTCTATATCTATCTCTATTTCTCTTAATCACTCAAAACACAAACACAAAAATCAACCAACTACGGATCAAAACCCAAATACTCATTCTCCAAACACAAAAACATCCACTCCAATAGGTTTTGTGGCATACGAGGGCTACATAAACCTCCTCAACTCGGAAAACTCACCACAAATTCCATATCTCGCCTACTTTTTCAATCACGCTTCAGCACCACTACAATTCTTTACCTTGCATTTTAAGCGGCAAACAACCACACAACCCCCACCCACGCAAGAAACGGTTATCGAGATGCAAATCGGGGGTAGTCAGAAAGCATCGGGAAAAAAAGAGATAAAAAAAGAAAGGGGAAGAGGTCGTGGTCAGGGTGGAGCAAACGGAAGCACCTCCAACATGGTGGACACCGGAGGAAGAGCATGCGTTGGCGGTGGTTTGGTGTGAGACTTCAAAACAACCAACTTTGGGGAATGATATGAGGAAAGTTGCTTTTTTGAAAGTCGTGATTGTCAAATTCCGCACAATTTTGAACAAGAATGACATATATTGTAATAACAATATGCTTAGTGGCAAATGGACTCAAATTAGCCGGAAGTGCACCAAATTCAATTCCATCTACAACAAACTTGTTTCGCAATTGCAAAGTAGTGCGAATGAGTTCGATGTGTTTAGAGCTGCGAGGAAGGAATATCACGTGCAAATGGGTCACTTATTTGAGCACGAAAAAATTTGGGAGATCGTGAGGAAAGATCCAAAATGAATAAAAACGTCAACACCATCAGAACAACAATCAAAGAGGTCTTGTGGTTCGGGTTCGGTTGACGTTTCCGACAAATGCATGAACATCGACCTTAACACGGACATCATGAGCTCCTGGACGACTTTGATGACATCGAGGAAATCTCCCTGCCACGATGACCGATGGGCACGACAAAGCGAAGCGCGCTCAATGACTTGTAGAGGAAATTGAAAGTTGGCTTCGAGAGCACGCGGGAATGAAACAAATTCGACGCCCACACGGAAATCGCAAATAAAATATATGAATTGCAACGTTAGTATTTAGAGTTCCTTCGTCAGGAAGCCGAACAAGATCGCATATCGAATCGAATAACTTGGCAATTATTACGACAAGCAAAGAAAATATGCAACCGGGACGAGTTGAAGTGATACGGAGGATGAAGACAAAGATCGAGAGCAAATACTTATACGACAAATAGTTTGTCAGTGTTTTGTTTAATTATTACTTATTAGGACTATCATGTGTTTTTTGGGCAATGTTTTTTTTTTAAAGTTTGTATGATATTTTTAGTTTACTATTTAATGAAATTATATTTTATTAATTTATATGTTTTTTTTATAGATATATGGTATAAATAAAAAAAATAAAACAAATTAGAAATATATGAAGTAAATAAAAAACAAACTAGAATAATAGAAATTAAAAACATCCAAAAAAATTTTAAAAAATTAATAGATGTTATCCTATGTTATTTGGTGTTGTCTATTTCCACATTTGGTGTTATAACACCAAATTGTGATTAGGATGATGAGGTGAACTTTTGGGTATGATAACATGTTGTT